AAAAATAGGATTTAGCTGCTCAGAAATTCCCTTACCTAATGTAAAATTCTTTGTTGAGATGTGGAAGGAGAAAAAGGATTTTAAGTTACAGGGAAGTTTAAAGAGAAAACTTATGAACCGATATTTACTAGAAGCATTTTTTTCTTAGAAGCTGTTTGTAGAGAGACGAAGAGGAAATGACATGTGGATGGTGTTTCTTGAAGTAATTTAGAGAGAACTAGATCTGATTTCATTGAGATAATGCCAGCATTTGAATCATATCCGCTTTTGTTAAGTCGTTGTGTTTTCTTGTTTGTTAGATTCAGAACTTGCTTTGATGTATAATGATGAATCTGTGTTGGAAAACCATCACCTTGCTGTGGGTTTCAAACTACTGCAAGAAGAACACTGTGACATCTTCCAGAATCTCACCAAGAAGCAGCGTCAGACACTCAGGAAAATGGTTATTGACATGGTGAGACCTCAGCCTTTCTACGTTCCTCACTTTTGCCATTCTGTCTGATAGACTGAATGTATTAAGAGTTTTAATTTTCTTTTTACCTAAGGTGTTAGCAACTGATATGTCCAAACATATGAGCCTGCTTGCAGACCTGAAGACAATGGTAGAAACAAAGAAAGTTACAAGTTCAGGCGTTCTTCTCCTGGACAACTATACTGATCGTATACAGGTACTTGAAAAAAGCCTTTGATTTAACACAAAGTCAAACCAAACTAAACCAAACAACAATTAGAAAAAGAAAACAAACATAAATTCAGTTAGTTTCATGTCCTAGGCTCCTAGGACAGCTTTGGGCTTATTTTAGGAACAAGCTAAGGAAAATGGACATTCAAGCTAGTCCTCTAATTTATGAGGAAAAGCTTAACCCTATTTATTGAATTGCTTAGTTCTAAAAATAAATTGCAAAATCTGTTTGTAGTAGGACATCCATGACTGTTGCTCCCAAAAGCTCATGTTTGAATATAAATCTCATAGACTTGAAGTTTGTTAGGTCTGTTTTGGTTATACAAATTGCCATCATCTGGTCTCATCTTTCCATGAGTGGAAAATATGAAGACATCAACTTTGAGTAATTCCTTGCATTCTTTCCAAACTGAGGAAAGGAAACGATAGCAGAATCTGACCTCTAATGGCCCTTTCAGTTTTTAAATTCAGTGAATGTTAGTCTAAGAAGACACACATTTTCCCCTTTGAGACTCTTTAATGGTAAATAACCAACCCTGGCCAGCACCACTGGAATATTGCTTTTTTGGGTGCACCCACCATAATTATAATGCACCTAAAATGTTCTCGGGTTTGGTACCAAGTGTACTAGTATAAGAGGGATGAGATGTTCTGGCAATATTTACACCTAATTTTATGGAACTTCAAAAACTTGATGATTTCAGGTCCTTCGCAACATGGTACACTGTGCAGACCTGAGCAACCCCACCAAGTCTTTGGAATTGTATCGGCAGTGGACAGACCGCATCATGGAGGAATTTTTCCAGCAGGGAGACAAAGAGCGGGAGAGGGGAATGGAGATTAGCCCAATGTGTGATAAACACACAGCTTCGGTGGAAAAATCCCAGGTATCTAATATGAGATTTTCAAAGTTCTTGTGGGCTCTACTGATTGTAGAACCGGAGGGTTCTACCTAGTTCCTTTCTTTTAACAGAATACATGCATGTGCAATGATAAGGAAGCAACCACACATGTAGTTCCATTATCTTCATGACTCATTTGCCTTTTCCATTACTCTTGATTTCACAGGGAGGGGATGAAGCAGCCATCAGAAACCCATCAAAGTTTGGACTGTGTATCCCCAAACCATTTAGATAGTTGTCTGTGACCTTAGCAAATTCAGCTAATTGAACCTGAATGCTGCTGTGACCTCCATCCCATCCCTCCAGATTTTTCCTAGCTCTGTCTTCACACAGGAGCTCTACTCCTCATCTTTGTTTCCAGTACCTTTCTTGTTATATCTCCATAATCAAGCACCCTGCCGCCACCACCAGAGGTTTTCTGTCTTACCTCACAAAGCCCTGTCCAGTGTCCCCGTCCAAGGTTGCTTCCACGCCTTTGGGAACATGCTGACATTTTCTGGTTGTGTCCAAAGCTACACATTCTCTGTGTGCTGAGGACAGGGGACAGTACTATGGAGGCACGGGGGTTTCAGGGCCCACTGAAATGTCACTTCTTTCAGGACAAAAAAAGAGGCTGAGCCAGGTGGCTGTGGATGACAATGTGTTTCATAGGCTGTCCAACGTCTTCATCACAAAAACGTTTGGAGTGTCTTTTATTAGTGTCTATCCTCTTTCCTCACTACCTGCAACCTCCAAATTTGCATATACTTGTGATGTCAATGCACAGTTCCATTGCAGTTATTATTTTTTTCTTCTTAGAGAAACCGAACTAAGTGCTTGTAAAATCGGTGAAGGTGCTCTAAAGTCTAATACGTTATAAAAATGCAAGATGGAATCAAGTTAATCAGGTCCAATTCAAATACCCTAGAGCTTTAACTGTAATAAGATATAAATAAAGAGAAATAACACCCTTTTATTAACAACAGTGATGTTTTATATTCATATGATGTTCTGTGTGGTTTCCCACACCTTTTTCCATACATTGTCTTTTTTGAACCCCCATACAGCCTTGTGAGATAGATAAAGCAGGTATTTCCCCAGCATGTCAGGTGACGAAGCTGTCCTCTTGGTCCAGTCTATCAGTTCCATAGTGGCCCAGCTGTCCTCTACCCAAAGCTCTTTATTGTCCATTGCTGTGCACAGGTCTTCCTCTTGCCAAGGCGTTGTTCCACCATAGTGTTTCCTACAGATGGACTCTTTTGGACATTGTCTGATTAGTCTGGCAATAAAGCTCTTGACTAGGTGCTCTTAAGATTTGTAGAGCTCTTTCATCTCATGACTGAGGAAATAAGCAACTAGTAGCTACCTTTTGAGAAAAGTCCTAAGCATTTCTTAGCAGAAGAAAAACAAATGATCGCACTGTGTTCAGTGTATGCAATTTCCTCCATTGCCTTTAGCTTGTTATTTTGGTCCCTGGAAAACACCTTGAAAATAGTCTCTAAAGTCTTTTAAGCACACATAGAAAAGTAAGAGGGAGGGAAAAAGAGTGGTGGAAGCCAGAGAAATATTTGAATCATCCTCAAAGCCAAGTTCTTATAACCAGTGCAGATCAGAGATGCCCTGACTTTGGTGTGAATCTTGTTTGCTAAGGCTAGAAAAGCACCAGAGAGAATTTTATACATTTATATATATATATATATATAAAACAGAGTCACATATGTCCAAGGTTCTTATATATAGTACAGCTTGGATGTGTTAAATGACTGGCAAAATACGTTAGTAAAACAAAAATGTTAATAAAGGAAAGTTTCCAGTAGTGTGGAAAGATAGCTATATAGTGTTCCATGGGTGCCCTTGTCCATCTCCCCGTGAATCCCAGCCCAGCATCTCTCCAGCTCTCCAGCCATGACAGGGGAATTCCATTCCCTCATTCAACTAGAGCCTATTCTCTCTCTACCTGCTCCCACCCCCAGTGTTTCCTGTTTGTCTGACAATGCAGAGGTCAGCATAAGGCCACATAGCTAGCTCATGCAGGATGCATAGCCCCTGTAAACCATAACAGAGCCATAAGCTGCTTATTTATTCACAGGAACACCAGCAAAAGGAACTGCTTAATTGTTTTTATTTTCCCTTCTTTCTCCTGATGGAAATGACGGTGTGCCTTATGGATCCAAAACAATTGCAGACATGTCCGCACGGAGGATATTTGTTTGTTTAGGGGCTTGAAGTATTTTTCAAGTGTTTTATCAAACTCCTCTAGAAGCCAAAAGCATCCCATTGAACTCGAGGAATTCCAGAGTAGTCAGGGGCAAGATCCCCATCATTTTGGAGCAGTGGCATAGTTTAAAGTTATCAGAGAAAGAATGTTGATTCGGAAGGCATTAGAACTGGAGCTTCCTTCTTCAGAGGATGACTCACAGGATCCAAGTAGTGACGAAGTTATTCCCATCCAGGGTTACATCCAGACTTTTTACCTGGCACACGTCAAAGGAAAAACAATCCATTGTACTGGGATGAATACAATCTTTGGAATCATACAAAGCTAGGATTAAGTCCCAGCTCCACCATTTAATACTTGTATAACCTCTGATAAGGTATTTAATCTCAATGAGTCTTAGTTTCCTTCTTTGTAAATGGTAGACAGCAATTCTTCCTTTGCAGGATTAAGAGAGGTAACACACCTATTGCATTCACTGCAGAACCTACTATACAGTAATTGCTCAAATAATAGAATCCATTATTATTGATCTCTCTGGGATTGTTATTGCTCTCTCTTTGCATGGAAATCAGGACAGCTTGTTTGGTTTTCAAGGGCCTATCACAATAACAGATATATAATCTTATTTTTCTCTAGGTTGGTTTTATTGACTACATTGTCCACCCACTGTGGGAGACCTGGGCAGATCTGGTGCAGCCCGATGCTCAGGACATTCTGGATACATTAGAAGATAACAGGAACTGGTATCAGAGCATGATACCCCAGAGTCCCTCCCCACCACTGGATGAACAGAACAGAGACTGCCAGGGTCTGATAGAAAAGTTCCAGTTTGAACTGACCCTTGAAGAGGAGGATTCTGAAGGACCTGAAAAGGAAGGAGAGGGCCACAACTATTTCAGCAGCACAAAGACCCTTTGTGTGATCGATCCAGAAAATAAGGATTCCCTGGAAGAGACTGACATAGACACTGTGACAGAAGACAAGTCCCCGGTCGACACATAATCTCCCTCTCCATGTGGAGATGAACATTCCGCCTTGACAAGCATGCCAGCTGTGTGGTAGGGCCAGCCCACCACGAAGGCTGACTTCTGCACGGGACAAAGGCTACCTGGCCTTTCCAGTTACTTGAGTTTGGAGCCAGAATGCAAGACCATGAAGCAAATAACAGCTCAGGAAATTCCACGGTTGACTTGCCTTGCTTGCAAGCTTGATAGAGAGCTGACGCTCTATGTGGTACTGGAGGCCAGTTTCGATCACAGCTAAGTGGCTTGAAAACGGAAGACACAAAACTGAGAGATTTTTCTGCACTAAGTTTCGGGGATCCTGTCCCTGCAGTCGACACATAATCTCCCTCTCCATGTGGAGATGAACATTCCACCTTGACAAGCATGCCAGCTGTGTGGTAGGGCCAGCCCACCACAAAGGCTGACTTCTGCATGGGACAAAGGCTACCTGGCCTTTCCAGTTACTTGAGTTTGGAGCCAGAATGCAAGACCATGAAGCAAATAACAGCTCAGGAAATTCCACGGTTGACTTGCCTTGCTTGCAAGCTTGATAGAGAGCTGACGCTCTATGTGGTACTGGAGGCCAGTTTCGATCACAGCTAAGTGGCTTGAAAACGGAAGACACAAAACTGAGAGATTTTTCTGCACTAAGTTTCGGGGATCCTGTCCCTGCTAGTGACTAAACTTACTAATAACTTCATTTATAAATCTGCTCGCCTGTCCCTTTGTCTGCCAACCTGTGTGCCTTTTTTGTAAAACATTTTCATGTCTTTAAGATGCCTGTTAAATACCTAGAATTTAGTATCAACTTCTCTACAGATAAGCATTCAAAGTTGACATAAACTTTTTTGACTCTTTCTGGTTTAAAAAAAAAAAGGAAAGAAAACGGTCTTCCTTCTTTCTTGGGCAACATGTTTCCCTTTACTGCCCTTACTTTTGCAAACAGACAGAAAGGATATACTTCTAACCACATTCTGCTTCCTTCCTGTTGTCCAATCCACCTCCACAATTGCCCTTATAACTAATCTGTTTGCCTGCTTAGAACAGTATTTTTTCTCCTCTAGAGTTTCACTTTTTTGCTGTATACAGAATAAAGTTGAACACACTAGGGGATAGGAAGAAGCGGTTGTGTTGTTCACTATAACAGTCTATGTAAACCTCTGCTTACTAAGGCAGTGTGCCCTGCTGTGCCTAGACCCCATATGCCCCTGGGAGTTGCACGGTCCCCTGTCCTCTTCCCTCCCTCCTCTCTTCACTCAATTACGCTATTTTCACTTTAATGCTGCCGTCTTTCTCTTGCACTGCCTTCTGCGCTAACACCTCCGTTCCTGTTTATAACCTTGTATTTATTACTTAATGTATATAATGTAATGTTTTGTAAGTTATTAATTTATATATCTAACATTGCCTGTTAATGGTGGTGTTAAATTTGTGTAGAAAACTCTGCCTAAGAGTTGCAACTTTTTCTTGTAACATTTTGTATTGTGTATTATATAACCCAAACATCGCTTGAGAGAGACATATGGCCCCCTGGGCTGTGAGGACAGGGTTGGGCTTTAGTTCAGAGGGTCTGCCCTTTCCCTGTCTGAGTTGCTAATACTGCACAACCCCTTTATGAACCGGTTTCGGAAACAGGATTCTCACATTAGATACCAAATGGTTTATACTGAGCTTCTACTTTTGTATAGTTTGATAGGGGGTAGGGGGCAGTGGGAAGTAGTTTTTAACCCATGTTCTATCCAAATCTGTGTTCGCATGAGTTGGGTTATAACTGGGTTCTACTATAATTGTGGCTTTGGTTCGAAAAACAACACTACATTTGTTCACAGATGATTCTTCTGAGTGTTCCTAAACTACTGACTTTGAAGAGCTAGCCTCCTGCCTGCCATTAAACAGGAATATCATGTTCCAAAAACTTTACAAAAGAAAACAATAAAGCAATGTGAATTTTTATAATAAAATGTGAACTGATGTAGTAAATTATGCAAATGTGAAGCTTCTTCTGATAACACTTGTTAGGCCTCTTACTGGTGTCAGTTTCAGTTTGTAAAATACGTTTCATGCTTTCAGTTCAGCATTGTAACTCAGTAGTTAAAGAAAACGGCACACGTGTGCATGACCGATGGGTCTGTATGTCTATGAACACTGCACTGTTCCAGGTGGACATTTCATTGTTTTCAAAAGTTTCTCATAATGTATGTTATAATATTATTATATATTGTGCTCAAATGCATTATTAAGAGACTTTTATATGAGGTGAATAAACAAAAGCATGATTAGATTAGACTGTAGGCCCAGTTATTGTGTGGTTAGTTCTGACATATAAAAAGATCTTTTTTTCTCTTCTCTCCTACCATACCCCACAAAGAAAGCCAACCACTTTGCGTGGCCATCATCACAACTGAAGTTTCAGAATCTGTGTCCAGAAAGTCCCCTAGCTTGGAACTTTTTACTTTTTTCTTAGCAGCTGTTCACCTAACTCAATGGTGCGGGAAAGGGGTTGGTGAAGGAAAACAAACAAAACCACTTTTGTTCATCTCAAACCATTTCCATCTATCTCTTTTAAGAATCTAAACGGTTTAATCTACTAGATAAATAAAGGGAATCCCCACTTGGCTGGTTCCACTAGAAAAGTGAATCACAGAATCATAGAACATTAGTATAATGTGGTCAGATGGTCTCATTGATTTATTTGACACATGAAGAATCTGAGGTCCAAAGAGTCATCTTAAACCACAACCCACAGAGCACGGTGGACACTCATGGTCTTCTCAATGATCCATGAAGTCTCTTGTTGATCATACGGTTATGTTTTTCATTCTGGGAAGAACTGTTTAAATATCATAAGCAAAATATTTAAATGCTTTGTTGAAATCTTAAAGTCAGCATTTAAAAATAATTTATCCTCGGAAGTGTGTGTGTATGTGTGCACGTGTGTGTGTGAGCATTTGTGTGTTGTGGGAAGGTTGCATAAAAAAATCAGTGGTGGCCCATGATAATTTAACCGTGGGGAAGTGGTCTGTAAATCAGTAAGAGGGTCTGCTCTAGAAGAACTCCACTCAAGCTGAAATGACTGTGCTTCTTTATAAAGACAAGAAAATGTGAGCCAACATTGCAGGAGCAGCTTGCCCACTGGTTGCAAAGCTAATATTTCCAGCACTTTCCACCATCCTGGCCGTCTGATTGCACCTCACCATCTCTGAACTTTTACAGACTGAGTGACAAAAGTGGATTGGTTACAATAGCCAAAGGTGTAACTTCCATAATGCCTAGAAACTGTAAATATTTAGAACTATTTGCAGGCCTATTTTCTACTGACAAGTGGTACTTAATCCTTGCTGCAAATGAGAATTACTAGAGGAGTGAATATTTTTTGTAATGCTCACGTTTGGCCCCCATCCTCCTCTTGAGATTTCTGATTAAATTGGGCCTGGGTGGAGCCCTGAGCATCAGATTTTTTAAATTCTCCCCAGGTGATTGTAATGCGCAGGTGGCATACAGAACAACTGCTCCAGAACAGGGAACCATGCTTGGCTTTCTATCACCCCAACTGTCCTCAGACATTCATTGTGAACCCACTGTGGCAAGCATGTCATGCCCAATATTGCTATTTTCTGCAGTAATTTTGGCTATATCTAGTTTTATCTTTCTCATTGATTTCTGACCTAACTTCTAGGTAAGATAGGATGACAAGTCATCCTAGTTTTCTACATGGAAATCTCAAGAACAGCCAGGCCAGAACTCAGGAGTTCAAGCCAACTGTAACTTCTATAAGTGCAGAGACCATGTCTGGTGTTTTCCCCTGTTTCCACAATGCCTGGCATCATACCTGGCACAGCTTTGATGCTCCAGCATTTGTTGAATAAATCTGGATGTTGATGACAGTAAAACTTCAGGAAAATGAGAAGAATGTACATTCTAGACAATTTAACTCTCAGTTTCTCTCATTCAATTGCAAGGACCTGTTTTCTGATCTGTCTTTCCATTCAACACTGAACTCCTCTTCAAGCTAGGACAAGGTTTTTTGTTTGGGCTTTTAAAAAAATCTTTGTATTCCTTGCCAACAAGTGCTATGCTAGCTAGCCCTAAATGAAAGAGGTGCCCAGTGATATCTGTTTAGCTAACGACCCAAGAAACAAGGTAGAAACCCTTTTTATTGAAATTAGTTGTGAAACAGATCCATCTACTTTATGTACTTGGGAAGGAGTAGAGTACACTGGGAAAGCATGGTTTGACATACCTGTGTTCCAGGCCATTTCCTGTCCTTTTCTAGCTGTGGAAATTTGGGCAAATCACTTACATTTTATAAATTTTCTGCTTATTAAAAGATGCTAACAATAGACAGCTGAAGGTGGAATCAGGCATAGTGTTATATACAATGGATGCTCAATAAATCTTTGTTGTATGGATGTAAGTATCCATGGGTGGAGAGATTAATGAATATTAAAATACTTTTGAAAAATCACCTTTTGTCTTTGAAAAGCAAGTGCAGTAACACATTTATATTAATTTGTATGCTCAATAAATCTTTGTTGTATGGATGTAAGTATCCATGGGTGGAGAGATTAATGAATATTAAAATGCTTTTGAAAAATCACCTTTTGTCTTTGAAAAGCAAGTGCAGTAACACATTTATATTAATTTGGGGTTCTTAAAAACAAGTTCCAGTTCATCTAGATTTTCCTACATACACTTCAAGGTTCCAGCAGGATTAGAGCTCTCACTCCAACCCACCAACCATGGCAACACCGGTAGACTCATTGAGTTGGAAGAAAATATGTAAATTGCATTATCTACTCTCTCCAATGACATGCCTGATTAAAAGCATCCAGTGATAGAGAACTCAACAATATCCTTTTGAAATAATGTAAATTGTTAGGTTTCCAGGATGAAATCAAATTGTACTCTTCTAGAGCACCCTCTCTGGTTTGTTTTTGTCCCTCTGTAGCCAAATAATGTAAATAACTCCTCTTCTAATTTCCTGTTCCAATTGAACATAGGAGCTAGACTTTCAGAGTTTTTGACCATGTGACCTTGGGAAATGTTATATGACCTCTATGTGCCCCAATTTCCTCATGTGTAAGATAGAGGTAATAATAACACGTATGTCATAGATTATTGAGAGGATTAAATGAATTAAAGTTATAATATATTTAGAATAGCGTCAGTCCTGTAGTATGTATTAACAAATGTTAACTATAGACAGCTAGATGTAGCATGTCTTATACATTGCAGGTCCTTCAAACAGTTTGCATATGACCTATGTTCACCATTCTTGTTAAATTAGGCTGGGCTTGCTCAAATTGACAGTGCTTCTCTTAG